CTCAGGAGTTTAAGCCTTAGGTCTTTGTCACCCCACACAACATGTTCACGGTACCTATAATAACCAGAGCCAATATAGTTCAACATGAGCACATCCCCACATTAAATTCAAGTAAAAAAGGAAACTTTATAAAAAAAATAAAAGAAGACCCTGCATTCAATCATATACCAGTTAAGCATCTCTTCTTCTGTTGCAGTTGAAGCAATTATAAATGCCTGCAACAAATAACATTAACATAGATAATCAAACAACAGTTATAAGGAAATGATATCCATAACAGGCTATAATATCTATTTCATATCTCCAGATGTTTAACTGCCTTTTCCAAAATAGCACGAGTAAAGATATTTAAAGAAAAAAACCAAGGTATTAAACTTACAGCTCTATCAAATTCCAACATGAAGCATCTTTTGACATCTTCCTTAGTAGGCTTGCAGCCACACCGATCACGTCTAGATGTTAGGTCTGAAAATTTGGCATATGTGTAGTGTAGAACAGCAGCCTCCTCCAATTTGATTTCACTTAAAGAAGGAAAAAAATGAAAAGAATTGCCATTTGTATGTACATAGAAAACGATATTAATATATGCAGCTCCATTCTCACAAGTCAGTTTCAATTAAGAAATGGTTATTTATGATATGATGCCAACATAAAACATGCTCTCGTTATCAGCGATCAAGCTGCCCCCATCCCCCCAAACACCTCTGACCTCCCCCGCTCCCTTGAAGCTATATGCAAGTATGCATGTCAAAGCACATAAGAATATATGATATATGAGCATTGGGTCATGCTATCTCATCATGATTTTCTCTAAGAACATGGAATCACCATACTTTGGGGTTTTCATATAATTGTGCCATCTGTGAGCCCCATTTGGACGAAGATGATCCTGAATACGGGCAGCTGCTTTCCCGTTCCCATAAGTCAAGAAATAATTCGGATTACCACGAGTTGATTCTTTATACATGCCAAAGTAGGTTTCTTTTGGTAGATGGTCATAGTTCTTCTTGAACATTGACACCTGTTAGCATGGATAGAAAAGTAAGCCATTTGTGAAATTACTCCCAACTTCAACCAGTCGATTTACTGAACTAATGAAAAGCAAGGAAAATGGACATGCGACAAATTACCTCAGTAAAAGGATCCTTGATATCATCTCGTTCAACGCTGCTCTCCTAAACAAAAAGGAACAAATATTCCACTGTCAAACATAATGGGCCAGTCCAACTGAATAACAAGATCTTCAATCATAACCACCAGTTCCAAGTTCCCTTATTGATAACTTTCCTCATTAATTTATATGATTCTACTTACATAGTTCGGAAATATGACCATATCAACATTGCTAGGTACATCAAGTAACAACTGTCTCAAAGAATATTCACGTGCACCAGCTGGGTGTATTAGCTCATCAGTATCAAGATGAAGTATCCAGTCCATTCCAGCATCCTTATATTTTCATGCAAAAAGGGCAAAATATCAAAATAAGCTTAAGATTAATCCACTAACAATTATAAATAATAAAGTATTTCAATTCATGAAAATGGAATCATTCATGAAGCTTACCCTTGCCATGACAATGGCCATTTCCATATTGAGAGATTGCTTTACAAATAGCTCATAATTGCAAGGCTTGTAAAAGAAACTTGATAACCATGTCTCATTCCAGATCCGGCTGAAAGCCACATAAAATACCAGAAGTTACAAAACAGAAAGCCATTTTGAGCAAAAATAGAAAGGGACTTGTTCCTAGAGAACAAGAAAAGAAAATATAATGAAAGCAATCAAAAAATAAATGCAAAATAAAGACAGTTCATTACCAGTATCCTCCACATTCTAGTTAAACAAAAAACCAGGAAGAAATATCGAGAACAACCATGCTTTCACATTAGTTTTAAAATCTAAGATAATTACTTTTATCATAAACGGGGAAAAGCTAATTGACCTTTTAGCCTGCTGCTCTTCAAGCTCTTTAGTTCTGTATATAACTTTTACCCCCTGAAGAGTGAAGATATAAAGCTTATGCTATAAGCAAATTGGACCAACAATAATCACAGGTAAATCAGGTAGAGCAATTCAAATTATAAATGAAAAACATAGAAAAAACCATATCATAGGCCACAAAAGACTTCGTAAACTCACAGGAATAGACTCCAAAACTTTAGAAACATTTGGAGATGCAGTGTGCCCTTCCACAAAGAGGAAAAAATTTGTGACTCCAAGAACCTTGTGGTAAAACATCCATGGTAAAATCTGCTCCAAGCCAGCTGATGTACTTGTTGTTATACAAATCTGGTATTTCAGAGGCAAAACAGCTGAGTGTTATAAACAATCACTCCAATTGCCTCTAAGAGGAAAAGTCAGCTACAAGAAACAAGGTAGGTGTAAACTTGATTTAGATCTTCCACACATAATGAATGTATGTACTAACTATAATATTGATTTGATGGGAAAGAACATCAATTGACAAAAGAACTTCATAAGAAATAAATTTAACCGAATTTGAACAAAAGGTCAAGTGTGAGGAAGACAAACACTTGGGAGTCTGAATTCATAATAAGATTTTCGACTTAAAATCCAGAAAACGGTACGGATCAAAGCCAATACTGGAGATTTTAAACAGGATCACAAGCTGAAACTACAGAAGCTAAGCGATATACACCAAATATCAATTACCGGTAGCAAGATAAAATTTCCAACAAAAATTACAGCCAACAAGAAAAATCTCCAATATAGCAAGGTTCAAATCATCCCCGGAAAAGAAAAGAAATGGCTACCTTGGGCCTTAAATTAGCTTCAAAGCCAAATTTCCAGTCACCATAGTAAGGGAGATAAGGAGAAGAGCTACGACCGAGATTGATGCAATCAGAAGAAGAATGCGATTTGGAGGAGAGAGTTGAGAAAGTCTCCATGCCAGGGAAGACCTCATGGTGGGACCCCCGCGGTGCCCATCGGGAATAGGCGCCGGATGTGGCAATGGTGGGATCGGATACACCCCCTCCACGCCACTGTAGAACGAAGGCTAACGCAGCTAGAGAGAGAGGGAGGAGAGTTAGGAGGAGCAGAAGCTTAGAGAGGAAGGACTGGGAGGAGGATGAGGCTGACGTGGCGGAGGCTAGCAGCGGATTAGAGCGGTGGTGGTGGTGGCCGGCCATTGCGATGGCTGGAGACGGCAACAAATTAAAAGGTAGTCCAAGGGAATGGACTAATCAATTGTTAAATGAAAATTAAAACCAAATAAATACGTAAAATAAAATAATTTCCAAATTTTCCTTTGCATTCCTTTCTCTCTTTACGATTTGGATAAACTATATTGATAGTCTACCAACTATAGTGTATTTTTCGTTTTCATCTTTTAAATATAAAACGTTACATAATGGTCATCTAAACGAAAGTTATAAATTAATATTTTTTTCGTTAAAAATTAAGAGGAAAATAATTTGATATTTAATTATATTTGTATAATAATAAATTTAATGTTTAATATATATATATATAATATTTTTATTTTTATTTTGATGAGTTCATACATACTATTCTCTTGAATGATAAAATGTATTCATTTTTGTTTATCAATTTGTATAAAAGATTTCAATAAATAAAAACAATATGAGGTTTTAATTTTGAAAATTCATAAACTTTCAAAACAACAGACAATACAAAGATAAATCTAACTATTTTGTATTTATAAATATATATAAATATAATAAAAAAATTTGAACATAAATACGGTCAAACATTACTGAAATCGAATATTAAAATTCGAGATGTGATTATACCATCATCAGTAGAAGTGTAAATGAACCGAGTTTGAACGAAAAAAGTTATATTCGTGTTCGTTTATTTATTTTTGAAGATGTTTGTGTTCGTTTAAATTTTCAATATCATGTTCATGTTCATTTATTTATTTTTAAGGTGTTCGTGTTCGCTTATTTATTGTTCAAAAATATATTCATTTAATATTCGCGAACGTGTTCATGAACATGTCCGTTTAGCGTACGTTTAATGATCACGAACATTAGTAAACATGTTCGTTTAGCGTTCGTTTAGTATTAGTTTAGCGTTGTTTTGGTGTTTGTTTATCGTTCATTTATATATTCGATTTTTAATTTCATTTGCAAGCTAAAAAAAATGATAAAATTATGTCACTGGTGCTTAAACTCCTTAAAATATATAGTTTAAAATGCAACTTTTATCATGTGTTCTATTTAATCCTTATCTTCACACATATTTAAAATGTAAAAAAAAAAGGGAAAGGAGAATTGGGTAATCGAGTTTGCTCATAAACATAAATGAACGAGTTGATAAATAAACTCATAAACGAGCTTGTTCGTGAACATAAACAAACCGAACACACCTTTGTTCGTGTTCGTTCATTAATGATCATAATTTTTTTGTTCATGTTCGTTTATTTAACTTAATACATGAACATAAACGAACGTTATACGAACGGTTCACCGAACTCTATGTTCATTTACATCCCTAAACATCAGACACCCAAACCATGTACATGCACATTAAATACATTCTATACAAAAAGATTGAAATCACCAATGTCTTTTGAACGCTCGGAAATCTCACAAAATAGCATGATTACACAAAATAAATTATTTATATTTTGTGTTTAGAGACCTTTAGAGTAACCCAAATTTATCGTAAAATACCACCACTTAAGACCATATTCACCAGTCTCACCCTCTCCTAAGTAAAATGTGAGCGTCTGTAGTAGAATCTTGGGAATATCCTCAGAAGAGAACGTGAGACATATGTGAACCAACGTCAGAGACTTAAATTATCATGACAGTCGAATTTTCGGTTGCCTTATATTTATCATGATTGTAGGTGTTATCACTATCATTGCAAATATCATAATCACACTATAATAGTTTTAGATGATACATTTACCGTTATATGTTATTCCGATAACGAACCGTGGTTTAGATCCATGCCAAAGACTACGACGTGGGTGCATATGTGAACCAAACAAGCGGTTCTCACACTTTTCATAACAACATTATGAGAACGCAGAGAAAAACCTGATATTCTTTACAGAGACACGAACAAGATAAAGTAGGAAACAAGCGCACACAAAGAATGTGTAAAAACTAAATATCTTAAAAGTTTTAGGGTCTAACCCCCCAGGCTGACATTGAATACAGAGGTCTTTCTTGCCAGCAGATTACCACACGTCCATTATCCTCTTTGATTTTATAACCATCATAGTTATTGGTCTGCAACAATCGTCCCGCCTGCAACATGCCATGGTAGCTTAATGGCACCCTTTCGAACCCCTGCCAACTCGAATCTCAGAATCCATTTCTCAACCTTTTCATGTCTCTTCTTTCTCTCAACACCTTCGCAAGCTATGATGTTCTTAATTCCTCCCCGAAAAGCATCTTCTCGACCTTTTGTCGCTCTATCGGAGCTCTCGATACCGTAGACTCTAAGCAATCGAAGAGTGCAGCATAGAAATTCAATGCTTCCATTACCCTCTCCATTAGAGTAGAGCCGTTATGTTTGGATTCCTGCTCGGTTATAACTATCAATTTCGGTGACAGTCCCCGAAGGGCAGATAGAAAGTTCACCATTTTCGGTGCAGGGGCCAGGGTAAGCGGGGATAACGGTGATGGTGACGACAAGTCAGAACTCGGGCTATATGCACGGATTGGCTCTTTCTTAAGCCACTCTCCTAATGTACGTTGGTTCATCTGCAAGACTCTCTGTGATCGATCGGTGTTGAGGTTCTTAGACATGGATGGTGAGTTGATCCGTCTAAGCATCTCATCATCCGTAATCAAGAATTCATATGTCAACTACAAGAGACAGTTCACTGAGAAATTTAGTACAAATTCAGGCTTATTAACAAAACATAAATATGTATATGCCCAATTTTAAATATTAGCTTTGGCAATTTTATTAGTAATAAAAAACAAATAAAAATTTGCACTGAACCGCTAAATGTATATAAGAAAATCAACTGCTAATAGAAACGATGGAGTTTAGGCCAACCAAAATGTAAATTTATTTCAACACAAGATAAGAATAGCATACAAATAACTGTTAGTCTCAGCCATCAACATATAAAGAAATTATGCCTGTGTCTCAGCTTATTACAAAATTATGATGAAAGTAAGGAATATGAAAAGGGACCAAATGCTCACATTTATTTTGATTTTGAATTCTGCGCAAATCTTCTCCAACATTTTCTTGGACCGTGCACTGTTAGCCACAAGACATTACACACATTGCTAAACTTGTAAGCGCATATCAAACAAAAGGGTAAGGGTATGGAGTTACTAACCCTTGACTGGTAAATTGCTCTCGATCATCTAATATTAAGATTACTTCATATACATCCTCAAACCTCTCCCCAAAGCTCAGAGGCGGAATGCTTAAGACATCCATATCTGCTGTTAGATCATTTGAACTTGGCCTCTGCACATATGATATATCAAAATATCAACCAGGGTAATGGCAGCTCTTCATGCAAGTTATAAATAGAACTCACGAAAAATGGGAAAATAGTAAACCTATAAATGAACAAACTACGATCAACATTAAGAAAATTTGAGAGCAAGCAGTCCTTAGCTATTAGTAGCATATAATAGCCAAGCAAACAAAGCTCAAAAAAATATGTATCTTAGCACAGTCTGAACTATTTGAATTAGAGTGGATCCTTTACAAAAAAAATGAGTTCCTTAGGCTCTTGCAGTTCATAAGGAAGAAATATTTATTAGACACCATGTCTAATCAAAATATTCTTGTTTTCACTCAAGCCATTTTTTAGTATTGTTTCTTTCAGGAAATTTTTTTATCAGTGCTTCATATCCCATCATAACATATCTGAGACACAGATACAAGATAATCGAATTGGAATTCACATACAGAGGAAGAACAGGCCTTAAAGTTACATAAGTTTAGCCTATCTCCGTCATCTGTACTTAATTGAATCCCAATATTTTGCACTCCATCATGAGGTTCTTTCCCTGAGCATTTATAGAAGAAGAATCATATCATGTCCCACAATTTTCAAAAATGAAAATGATCCTCTCAGTTATTTATTGAGTAATATTCAAATTGACAATATCTAACCATAAACTTAATCTTCTCGAAGACGACACAAGACTGCTGGCAAAAGTGAAGAAATCTCCTTGTTCTTCGAAGTTTCAGAGACTTCAGCAAAAGCAGAAAGAACTTGTTCCTTCGAGTACTCCATGTGAGTACACTACAAAAAGGAAATCAAGAGATTAGGGGAACAAAACCCTCAGAGGAAACAGGACAAAAGTACATATTAGAAAGTTCAGGAGCACAAACAGTAAACATATTCCACAGTAGGTAATAATGCTTCATGGTCTAAGAGGCTAACACTTAATCTGAAACTACAATTGTTTGTAAGTCAAATGAATTTTCAATCAGAAGCTACAAGCATCTCAATTGTCATATACCCTTTCAAGACAATCAAAAGGAACATCAATGGATTTTTTCGACTGAAAAACAGCTTTTTCAGTTGTCTCTTCTGTACACAAATCAGAATCGCATAACTCCTGAACAGATGCATTTTGCGCGTCTGGTTGTGAAACCCTTTCCACATCAACCATATTTTCTAAGGGGTCTTCCAGTTTAGATTTCATGAGGCATTCACGTGCTGCTTCCTTGCCTTCTGGTGTCAGCATGTATCCTCAAAAAGGAAGTTAGCATTTCATACATAAAACACAAATCACTAAGCAATCAGCCAACCACATGCAGCCAACCAAATAATGTTAATAATATGCTGAAGCAACAGTCTGGTATCATTAAAAAGGAATAAAATAAACAAAATAAAATCCATACTTTGCCGGACAACTTGATTTCACAACAAATCCCTTTTTTATAAGCGTAGACATGCAGGTCCATCCGCTATACCAGTCCCTTGAAGAAATTCCAAATTGGCTAGGTTTCCCTTTTCCTTTCTCTGGCCTAATAATGCACAAATCCAGATTTAAACCACCAATCAAGCTCCAAAATCACTAAAAGTATTGAGAAGAAAAAGTTTAATTAAATGCAAAAAAATCAACATATGGAATAGACGCCCGTGAGAGTCCACTTGCTTCAGTTGCATCAATAAGATCCTGCTTATGCATAAATTCATTCCCATCTACGGTTTCCTTATTGACGAGGTATACCCATCGATACTTCAAATCAATATAGAAATAACATGTGACAATAACGATTTAACATAAAGATAAACATAAATACCTATATAGAGTAATCAATCATGCATACGCCACTGAATTCTTTTGGGGCAAATAACGTCTGTTTCCTTTAGTTTTTTATCTAATCGTGCATTAAATAAGAATCGGAAAGGAAGAAAATCGAACAATTCAAGAGGATGAATACATAAAAGAAGTTCAAAAAAAAATTAAGTACCCTTTCTAGTTATGTCTTCTGGTTTTGAACTTCCTGAACCACCGTCAAAATAGCCACGCAAAAGCACCAGAATCCATTTCCCAACACCTCTATCCACAAACATAAGCTAAATTATTCCAAGAAAAAATAAATAAGTAAAAAAAAATGTTTGCGAAATGAAATAGCTAGACCGACCTACATCAAATTCTGATTTTGAAAACCACCCAAAACCCACACCAGGAAAAAGAAACAGCCCAAAGAAATCAACTTTACTTTCATTGAAAATGCAAATGATCAGATGAAAAAGAAGAAGAAAGGAGAATACTTGACGTTACTGAGATCTTTGAGTGTCTTGATGGGATGCTGAGCGTTGCAAATATTGTTGTATGCCTTTGAAAGAGTCATGTCAGTGTTTTCTTTTATTTTGACTAACTGAATAGGGCAGAGAACACCAGGTAGGATGGTTCGGCGGTCAACGTAATTTATCTTGATCGTGCAGGAATCCCCACCTCTAACTAAAGTATTTGATCCAACCATTGGCGAAAGAAGTCCCTCGTAAGCCTGGTAAGAGGGGATCTCTACATACATCCCGGGGATAGGAGATGTGGCACTGATGGTTCCATCCTCACCCGGCCTAGCATCACGAGATGAACAGCTCTGTCCTAGGGTTGTGGACTTTCTCGATTGGTCTATACTAACATAAAGTATGTTGCCTAGTATGCGGCCATCTACTTAGGTTAGGCTGACCTTGTTGGCCTATGTTCAATCACCTACTCGTGTATAGAATCAACCTCAGCCTACTCTCGCATACGGTCAATCATCCACCTCGTTGTGAGACACGCAAGAGAGTGTAAACTCGCGAGATGATGCCCCACTAGAGGAGGTCCAACAAGGATGAATTTCACTCGGTCAATGGTCGAGAAAAGGGTCTCCAGTTAGTTAGACAGGTTGGTTCTTTGCGAAATCGAATGAGGAGAGCAGCAGTGAAGTGGGGTGGGGCTTACCTGGTTTTTCTGCAGTTACTGGCTGCTTCGTTGATTCGGATCCATGGGAATTGATTGTTTGTCATGGTCACGCACGGTTTTCATAAAGAGTCTATTTCCAGCTCTTTTTTTTGGATAATTGAAAAATTTATTACCCAAAAGAGCAGTGTTCTGCTACAAAACAATCATCAATGAAGAAACAACGTAAAGTCAAGAACAACCTATTAACAAAACAGAGTATAGGTTATTCAATACTCCATTTCTTACAAATAGTAATATTAACACTATCAAGTCTATTAATATTCCAACCTCTAAGTTGAATTCCGACAATCTCCTTGATAGCTTTAAGAATTTCTGTTGCATTTCTGGAGATTCCTTTGAACAACCTTCTGTTTCGTTCATCCCATAGAGAATAGAGAAATGCACACCATGCAAGTTTCAAAATTGTGATAAGTAGGGATTTACCTTTCCAAGCATGAGAAACCGATGCTAAGAAGTTGTTCCAGGACATAAAAGGTGACCTTAATCCGGAGAGTTACAGAATGGCTTTCCAAAGAGAAACCGCTAGAGGACATTCAAGGAATAGATGGTCTCTTGTCTCCCGGTCCTCATTGCACAGAACACACAAGCCATCTGTTATAATGCTCATACGTTGAAGCGTATTCCTAGTTGGCAGTCTGTCCAAGATAGCCATCGAAGCAATCATGCTGTGTTTTGGTATGTGAAGAGGAAACCAAATTAGATTATGCCAAATAACTTTGTCCCTCTTTACTCTAATCTCATCCCAAATGGCGCGAGTCATCATTGCTCCTGTAGAAAAAACAGTTTGTGCTTCTCTTTTAAGTTTTAATAGTTTCCTGGAGCTCCAACTAGCATTAGTTCCACCTTCTGAGTGCCAAAAGTCTCTATCTTTTAACACGTAGGATTTGATCCAAGCAACCCACAGTGAGCCCTCTCCTGCTAAGATGTTTCTAATGAGCTAAATTATACACGCCTTGTTCCATGTTTTTAAGTCCTTTAAGCGATGCCTCATTCAGATTTCGAGGCGCATATCAATCTCCAGCTTACTCTAGCGCCAGTAGCAGCCTTGTCTGAACCTTTCCAGAGAAAACGAGAACATAGTTGCTTAATCCTGTTTATAATAGATTGTGGTAAAAATAATTGTCTACACCAGTAGTTAGCAACACTAAATAAGACAACTCTGATAAGTTCGAGCCTTCCTGCATAACTCAAGTGTTTGCCTGACCAGTGATGGAGCTTGGCTTTGATTTTTTTCAATGAGGAGTCCACAATCCTTTTCAGAAAGTTTTCTCGTTACTAGAGGTACCCCTAAGTATCTCACAGGTAAGCTTCCATGTGTGAAACTCGTGATTCTATGTATAGTCTCTATATTATTAATAGGGATACCAACAGCGTAAAATTCACATTTGGCCGCATTAAGCTGAAGTCCAGACATTTCATAGAATTTATCTAGGACACTGATGACTCCTATAACAAATTCTACAGTTCCTTTACAAAAGATTAGGAGATCATCTGCAAACATTAAGTGAGTAAGACATATCTTCTTGCATTTAGGATGGAAGCCAAACATACCTCGTGTCGCAGCTAAATTAAGAAGTCTGGATAGCACATTCATTGAGAGGGCAAATAATAGAGGAGATAGGGGGTCACCCTGCCTTATACCCATGGCACCCTTGAAGTAGCCAATCAGACTGCCATTGAAAGAGATGGAGTATCTTACTTCTGAGTAACAAGCTTTAATCCAATTGATGAAAATAGGTGGAAGTTCCATAGCAGATAGGATTGCAGAAATGAAGCCCCAATGGAGAGAGTCGAAAGCCTTACGTAGGTCAATTTTCATACAACATCTTGGGGAAATTGATTTCCTTCCGTAGCCTTTAACTAGTTATTGAGCGAGGAGAGTGTTGTCAACAATATTGCGTCCTTTAACGAAAGCGGACTGATTCAAAGTAATCACTTCTGGGAGCAGATTGGTCATTCTGTTGACTATAATCTTGGTAATTGACTTGTAGACAACAGAGCAACATGAGATAGGTTGAAAGTCTTGAATCTTACTTGGGTTTGGAATTTTAAGAACCAAGGCAATTGTTGTAGCATTGAAGGCTGGCAGCAACAAAGTTTCTTGAAAGAAGTACTGAATTGCATTCATCACGTCGTCTTCAACCATATTCTAACATTTTTTGAAAAAGTATGGGGTGTAGCCATCTGGGCCTGGAGCTTTATCATTTCCTTGATTAAAAATAGCAGTTTTAATCTCCTCTTTAGATACTTCCTTGACCAGATCAGATGTAGCTCCAATTGACAATTTATATTACAACAGATCTTTTAGTATAGCAGGGTTACAATTAGTTACAACGGGATCATCAGTGCGGATAAGCCTTTTGAAGTAATTAATCACCTCGGAGGCCATATCGTCAAAGGATTCAAGCCTACTTCCTCGTTCATCAACAAGCACTCTGATTGTATCCCGTTTATTTTTGGCAGCAACGATAGAGTGGAAAAATTTTGTGCATCTGTCTCCCTCCTTTAACCATTGAGCTTTTGCCTTTTGTTTTAAGAACATAAGCTCGGCTTCTTCGAGAGATTTTAGTTCATTTTGTAGAGTAAGCTCCTTCTCGAGTACGTCATCTCCTCTTAAAGTTGATAATTGTTGCAATTCCAACTCTGATTTCTTTTGCTTGACTCATATTGAAATGTCACTGTAGCAATCTGTATTAAGCAATGTTTTTAAAACCGGGTCATACCTTGAATCAGTGAAGGTACTGGTTCAACTGGATTTTATATAAAATAATATTTTTTTTAAAATTTTTTTACATAATATTCAAAGCAATATTAATATATATATAACATTTTTTTTAAGTTTACAATATTAAAAGGTATAAAAATATCACAAGTCATAACATATATAAGATAAAAAACATAAAATCAAGTGAAACAAAATGATTCAAATCAACTACAACATAATATTTAAGGTAAAACATATTAAATAATAAATATAATTATATAACTATAATCAAAAAATAAATTTGGGGCTGAAAAAAATCATAACAAACGATGTCTTTTAATTTAATTTTTTTAGAAAAAAAAACAATCTCGCATGACTAAGAAACATAGTAGAGCATCCCAAAAGTCTAAAGAGTAAAAATATGAGAACAAAACAATCCCACATGGCTAAGAAACATAGAAGAGCATCTCAACTGACTTCTATAAATACTATAGGTAATTTGACATTCAAAATCATGGAGCCTTTTGGTGAGCACAGAGCGAACTATTCTTTTGCTTCAATTGAGCTCGAATTTCAGGCTTTAATTGAACTTCTAAATATTTTTTGAGTTCGACCCTTTTCGAGTTCAAGTTTCAATATTATATTTCGAGTTCGAGTTGAACTTGATAATTTTTAGCTCGTGAGTTTTTGAGTCGAGTTGAGCTTATTTTTAAGTTTTCGAGTTTGAGTCGAGCTCAGCAGTACTCGAGTTCGACTCGGCTCGTTTAATAAATGACTTCGTTTGGTTTAATTTTTTTTAAAGAAAAAAAGATAACCGACGGTTCACACCGGCTTTGTCAATTTTCAGCCGGTTCACCCCGGTTTTGCCGGTTCTTAGCCGGTTCTTTACCGGTTCTGTGCTCATCCGATTTTGGGAGTTAACTGGACCGGACAAGCTACTGATTCACGGTTCAACCGGTCGAACCGGTCGGTCCAATTTTAATAACATTGGTATTAAGTCTCGAAAAGGACTTGCATAGGATTATCTTGAATAGCTTGTTGAGTAAGGAATTCAACAAATGAATTTTGAAATTCTTTTGCCCACAAGGGATTGAAGAGCACCCTGTCAAGTTTCCTTGCAACGAAATATTCTTGCTGCTTGTTACTCCAAGTGAACAATGGACCAAAGTAAGGATGGTCTTGTAGAGATAGTTCTTGCGTGACATCGAGGAAGTCTTTCATTTCGGGAGATGAGACAGGGCCAAGTAACTCATGATCAGAGGTTTCATTCGCATTCAAAATTATGTTGAAGTCCCCTCCTATTATCCAAGGGAGATGGCCATATTGGTTATCAATTTCACGCAGCTGATGCCATAGAAGTCTACGAGTAATTCCGTCGTTGCTGCCATAAGTTGCAGTAATAATCATAGGAGCTCCTTGAAAAGAACCTTTGACAGTAATGCATTGATCAGAAGGTCCAAGTCTTTTTTCCACAGAATCCAAATCCTTCCGTTTTGAGCGAATTCATAATTTGCGCAAACGTTCCACTTAGCAAATTTAGATTCCAGTAAACCCACTGACTTTTCCACCTTTACACGGGTCTCCAACAAACATAATACATCTACTTTATTTTGATAGGCTCTTTGAAGTACTTTGTCTTGTTTTAGAGGGCTATTTAGACCTCTAACATTCCAAAAACTGATATTGATATTCATTGAGGAGGAGAGGCCAAACCACTCACTTTACCTTCTGCTGTTGAGTTTTTTGATCTGTCTAAGTGGTCCTTCTTCTTCTTTTTGAGTTCGTTGAGAAGAGTTGTAACACCTAAAGCAGCAGTGCGTACTTTCCTTGATTGACTCTCTGTGGCATAATTTTCGTCAATTGAATTTAGGATGGCGTATCTGTTTTTTGATCCTGCCAGGACAACTTTTGAGTTGTCTTTGATCTGCTTGCTTCTTCCTTGTTTAACAATTGATGAGATGTTGGTGTCCAGGTAATCATCATTTGGAACTGCTTGATCAGAAGCAATGGACTCATTCACAGCAGCAGAATCGGTTAGGACAGTAGGTTGAGTGGCCACAGTTGCTTCATTCGAAGTAGATGGTCCATTGAACACACTGTTGGAGCATCCAACCAGATTTGCAGTAGATTCTTTCTCGGCAGCAGGGTCGTAAAGGACTGTGTTTTCAACAACAGAATCATTTGGGACTTTAGTAAATTCTGTACAAACTGATTCCTTTCCATTTACGCCTTTGTGTATGCTATGCATCTGTTTGACACTTGAGACAGTATTCTTTGGTTCATGTGAAGCTTCTGTTTTTCCTTCTGTAGAGGCTTCTGAGATTGTTTGTGAAGCTCCCTTTTTAATCCAAACCTGAGTTGTGGTCGGAGCAGAAATTGGTTTATCCGGGCAACCTTTCTCACTATGACCGAATACCATACATTTTCTACAGCAGGATGGTATACAGGGTACATCAACAGAAATAGAAGCTGCTTGCCCATCTCTAAGTACAACGTCTATGAATTTTGGGAGTTCATCGTTTACCCCTATTTCAACACAAACTTTGGCATATTCCAGTCTTGATTTTGAAGCTGTAATGGAGTCCATAGAGAGAGGGACTCCTATTGCGCTTGCGATGTAGCTTAAACCAGTACGAGAATAGAGTTCCAGGGGAACGTTAAATAGTTTAACCCAAACTGGAATTTTCGATAAATCGAAATTGAGTCGTCTAAGGTTTGGTTCCCATTTTCTGAGAATCAATGGCTTGTTGATGATGTGCCAAGGTCCGTTTTCTAAGACCCAATCTCTAGCAGTTTTGGATTTAAAAGAAAAAATGAAGAGGGTTCTTCCTGCTTTACTGACCTGAACTTGAGAACCTTGCAGAGCGTTTTTCCATAAATTGGCAGTGATCTTTTGCAATGAAACGAAATTTGGAGAAGCCCCTAGTTATTGCCCGACGAGAGAGAGCTTCCATGATGAGATTCCGGCTTCAAAGGCCTCAGATGGAGGTTGAACCTTAGGGACCCCTTCTCGGCTTGAAGGAGGGAAAAATTCCAAATCTTGTCCAGCTGAGCATCCAAACAGATTTCTCCAATCCATTGGAGGAACAATTGAGAAGAAAGAACATAAGCAGGAGAGATTTGCAGATGGAAGGACGATCGAAACACCGGCGACACGACGAAATTCTCAGTTTCCATTAGCCCTACTAACGTGCACCCAGAGAATATCGCTATCATGCGCCATTGTGAAATTCTCTTTCCAGCTCTTGCCTCTTTTGCAACAAGTAATTAGCTAGTTCCTCATTCTTAGGACACATTTCTCCATCTACTTTTTTCTAGGTTTTTGCTCAATTGTTAAGGCTAAAGGCTTGAGATTTTTTTTTAGGTTTTTTGAATTGGGGATTGCGCGGAAGAGAGGAGTGAAGAGATTTAACATAAACTTCAATCCATGGAAATCAATCCATTTTCACATAAACTTCAGCAAATAACGAACAGGTTTAAATGCTTGTGCAGTGATAATAAGAACAATACAACTCCACCTGTTTTATCTACTTACTGGAATGGAATATTATAGATTTAGGTTCTTTATCAAGGAACTGACATAACTTAGCCTGCAACAATCTACTACAAGTTCAATCAAAGCTACACTGATGAAACTTTCTTAATTACTTCATATCTGAATTTCATAAATACTCATCTGAAGACCCGCAGTGAGTGGTTCGAAATTGCAAAACCACCATCAACCGTAAGATTGTAACCACTTATATACCCTGCTTCATCACTTGCTAAGAACAGAACCGCATTCGCTACATGATCCACTGTCAATTCCACCCCACTCAAGTTAGCATTTCTCCCGATGAAAGAACGAAAACCGTCTCGCACGTCCTCGGTTCTTTCATCCCTGGGAAAGTGAACGAAAGCCAAGTCGGTCGGGACGGCATACGGAGAAACACAATTCACACGTATCCCTTATTTGCCTAACTCAGCTGCAACGTTCTTGGTCAGGCTTATCACAGCATGTTTGGAGCTTGTGTATGTGTGCGGTGCAAGTCCTCCAATGACGCTCGAAATACTAAACAGAAATTATGGAACCCTTTCCACGAGGGATCATAATCCTAGCAGCATGCTTCATTCCGATGAAAACACACCCTTCACATTCACATCTATCACCTTCTCAAACTCGGATAAATCGTAATTACGGATATCACCAAACGGTGGACCTGATAATCCGGCATTGTTGACCATGATATCGAGCGTACCAAACTTGTGGACTGCAAAGTCGACCGCACACCGAACTTCCTACCCCTTTGTCACGTCACAATGGAAAAAGCAAAACGTCCAGGCCGTCCTCGAGGGATTGACAGACTTGGAGCCCAAGGCTGTCTTGCACATCAATTATGCAGACTTTGGCACCATGCTTGTGAATTAGACGAACAATTGCCTTGCCGATGCCAGATGCTCCACCGGTGACCAATGCCACTTTCCCCGCTAACCGCCAAAGGGAAAATAAATACATTAATTTTGCTTAGGTATTAGAACAGTCGAGTGTTGGCTGAAATAGATAGAAACAAATAAAAAAGAAACTTGAACTATTTAGTATCAATTTAAGATGTCAGCTGTACATACGGATAACCATGATTTCACTTCAGGAAGAGATAAACTATTTAGTAAACCTAGACACTGATCCAATTGGCGAGCAGGAAAACAACATTGACACAATCAGTGAAGCATATGCATGTTAAAAAGGAACTAGAAAGAGGGTGAAAAAGTTTACCTTTGAGTGGGCAGTGATGAATCTAAGGAGTTGTTGCCGCTGGTAGCCGTGGCAGGAGTTTCACTTCAACAATAATAAGTTATTTCTGTGTTGTTAAATCACTGCCTGTTCTTTCCTCCTGGCTTTGGACATCACTGTCTTTTAGCAGAAAATAATGAGAAATGAAAATGAGTAACACAATGAGAGGAAGAGAGGGAATCCCATTTTGGTTTGGTGGAAAATGACAAAGCAAAAACTCCCAAGGGGAACGTTATCAATTGTTTTTGCTTACCGGAAAAATTATTAATATCACTTGATTCATACATTGATTTTTAATTTTTTTTTATTAATATGGATAAGTTACAAAGAAAATACTAATATAACTTCTAAATTTTTATGTTTTATCAAATTCAATTAATTGAAAAATAATCATTAAATATATATCAATTTTTTTTCGAAAATAACTAAAGTATTATAAAAAAATTAATATATATTTAAATAATTAAACATTTTGAAAATTATAAAACTTTAAAATCAGAAAATAGAAAAATTTATTGAAAAAATATAAAATTATTATAAATATTATTTTTCCAGTTAATTTAATTTGATATAAATAAATAAAAATTCAAAAGTAAACAAAAATGAAAAAAATTAAGGGGTCAAAATTCTTTTTCTAAGACTTTCATAATCAAGAATTTGCATTTTCAGTGATACTAAGAATGATCACTAAAAGTATCAAATTCAGTCACTAAATATTATAGTGATAAATCTTTTGAGTCGTCACTTTTCGTCACTAATAACTCTGTCATTATTATATTAGTGACGATTTATTGAATTTTATCACAATTACTTTTGTTTTTTGTGAATACAATTTTTGACACAAAAAGATTAATAACAATGACAAAATTTTAGACACTAATATTATCCTTATTAGTGACAAATATTTTATCACAATTACATAATTAAATTGATTAATTAAAATATTTATTATTAAATCAATTATAGTATATGTATTTCAAATTTTAGTATATTCATCTTCTTTAGGAACTTGCATCACAATCATTGTCATCAGTTAGTTATTTGTTGAAAACATTTTGATATTTCGATATAACAAATTAAGTTAAATGAATTTTAAGATTTTCCAAAATGATTTTCTAAGTATATTCGATATAATTATTCGAATATCAAAACATTACTCAAAATATTTCAAAAATCATTTTTAATCCTTACTTAAGTGTAAAATTAAGTTTTAATCTTAAAACAATTTCAAAATAATCTTTCAAAGTATTTCGAACCATTTCAAAGCCAAAAATTCCAGATTGCTCAGAGGGAACCGATTCCCCCCTGAATGGTTTGGCTCCGAGATTTCCAGAATGCTCGAAGGGAACCGATTCCCCCATAGGGGGTACCGATTCCCCCTGTTCAACGGTCGAAATATTTGAATTTTACACTTAGGGAACCGATTCCCTATGAGGGGAACCGATTCCCCCCACACTCCAAACTGTTTTATTAATTGTTTTCACACTAAAACGGCTATATGATCTTCACTAATCATCCCCAACGTTCAGAAGTGATTCAAGGTGTATTTAAACAAGTTCTGAAGCCCTTGATCAAGAAGAAATCATAGAGAAACAAGAGAGAAAGCATCAAACATCAAGTTTGTGCAAATCAAGCCAATTTTCCTTTCAATATTCATTTTGCTTTCAAGAACACCATTTGTGCTCATTTGTAATTATCTTTGAGTGTTCTTTTCTTGTTCTAGAATTGTGCAAACATCTTACCTTGTGAGGTTTTCCTTGTAAGTTTGCAAATTTGTAATCTTCTCTTTGGGAAAAGAGTGTTCTCAAGAAATGGGGTATATTCTTGAGGGTGTTGTAAGGTTATCTCTTTGGCCTCAAAAGAAAGAACAAATTAGTGAATTTGTTGGAAAATCCTTAGTGTGGATAGCTAAGGTAGTGGACGTATACTTTGATTGAGAAAGTCGAACCACTCTAAATCGCTGTGCAAATCTTTTCAATTTTCTGCAAAAGCTTCCACCGATTTTAATTGCCAATTCACCCCCCCTCTTGGCTAATTCCGTCGATCGATTAACTCATCAATTGGTATCAGAGCCTAACTCATTTGAAGGTTTAATCGCCTCTTGAGTTGATTCGGGAAGAGTTATATCGATTATCAAAGTCATCAATGGCCTCCGCTTCAAACTTCGACTCCGGTCTCGATTCGATGCCCGTCAACAAGCCTCCTTTCTTCAATGGAGCTAACTATGCCTATTGGAAGAATAGAATGATGTACTTCATTCAAGCAAGTGACATGGGAGCATGGAATGCTGTAGAAGAAGGATACATCAAACCTCTCACTCATCCAAGGTTGTGGAGTGAAAGAGAGACAAGAATGTTCCAGCTCAACTCCAAAGCCATCCATATCATTTTTTTGTGCTCTTGGACCAGATGAATACGGAAGAGTTTCATCGTGTACAACCGCCAAAGAAATATGGGACAAACTTCAAGTCACTCATGAAGGTACCGATGAGGTAAAGAAATCTAAAATTAGTATTCTAACGCATAGCTATGAAAATTTCATGATGAAACCAAATGAAGATATCAAAGCTATGACGGATAGATTTTCAACGATTGTCAATGGTCTCAAATCATATGGAGAGATCATTTCAAATGAAAAACTTGTGAGGAAGTTAGTCTACTCCCTCCCAAAATCGTGGCAATCAAAGAAGACGACAATCATCGAGTCTAAGGACTTAACGTCCTTAACTCTTGAAGAGCTAATTGGGTCACTCCTCACTCATGAAATGATGCTCGAAGATGAGGTGGACCTCGACAAAATTGACGAGACACCAAAGGAGAAGGAGAAGAAGAAAAACATTGGAGTTGCTCTCAAATCCACAAAAGATGAGAGTGATTCGAATAACGATGACGATGACGAGGAAATGGCATTGTTTGCCAAACGGTTCAGAAAAATGATGAGACCTTATCGAGGAATAAAATTCAAACGAAATGAAGGCCTAAAAAATGAACCGAAAGAGAAGGACCCAATCATTTGCTACGAATGGAAAAAGCCAGGGCATGTTAAATATGATTGCCCATAATTGAAGAAAAAGGGTCAATCAAAGAATAAGCACAAGGCTCATGTGGCTACATGGAGCGATGAAGAAAGTTCCTATGAAGAGGAACAAGAAGTAGCTAACTTGTGCTTGATGGTATTTAGGGAAGATTCTAAGGTAACCTCTAACTCATCTGATTTTGATGATTTATCCTATGATGAGTTATTAGAGGAATATAATGGGTTGGCTTCGGATTATGAGAAATTATTTTTAAAATATAAAAATGATGTTTCAAAATTGAAAAATGAAAACAAACTCATATCCAAAACCAACAACGATCTTGAAAGTAAAATCAAAGATTTGTAAATCAAACTAGAAGAGTTTGAAAAGAAAAATTTAGATTTGCAAAATTTACTTTCAAAGATAAAT